CCCCTGCCTGCCCCCCCTCACTCCGGCGCAATCTATACCAAAAATTAAACTAACCACGCCCATCATCGTCCAGGTGACCGACTCCCGAGACCAACAAACCACTCAACCCCGTCGTCGCCGTTCCCCCGCAACTCGTTTCATCACAGTCGACAATGTCCTCCAATACACCTCCGACGTCCCCTCCATGCAGCAGCGCCATCCACCCCAAGGCGGCGTTCGGGCGCGGCCGCGCTCCCGTCTCGCTTCCGCCGCGGGCGGCTTAATCGGTGCTGGCGGAGCGGGCTCCTCCACCGGAGGAAGCAGTGCGGTCAGCACAGCAGCGTCCATGAAGCGACTTGCAGCGCAGCCGCGACTGCCCCCTCGTACAACCAAAGTCAGTGAGAAGCTGGTGCTTCTGCCGGAGGCCGGGGACGAATTGCGCGAGGAAGAGGAAGGGGAAGAGGAGGATGAGGAGACGGTGGACGAGGAGTTCGTGCAGAAGATCGCGAAGGATAAGAATCTCGACCCGGATTCGGTGAGGCAGACGTTACTGGCGCAGAAGAAACTCGATGGGGATTTCGGCGTCGATAATGAGATTGCGCCGTTGTTGGCGGAGGAGGAGTTGATGAAGAGGAGGAAGGTCGCTCCGGAGAAGGCGAAGAGTTATGCGGAGAGGTTGCCGAAGGCCCGGCGCGCGGAGAAGTTGGCCAGAGTGACGGCGTATTGTACGGCGCAGGCTTATAAGATGAGCTCGTTGGCCTCGTTTGTGAAGGAGAGGCATGGCGGGAAGACGAAGCTCTATGATGATTGTCTGTATACAGCGTATCATTTGCCGTTGTTGCCTGGGCATGAGGGGTATAGGCTGAGGAGTAGTCCGGTACTGAAGAAGCCAGGTGGGAAATCGCTGCTTGATGAGGAGATTGAGCGAAATGAGCTGCGAGATCATCATGAGGACTATATGCCGGAGGCGGAGGAGCATTCGGTGTTTGGGGGGCGTCATGAGCATGGTCCGCACCCGCATGAATCGCATCAAGCTGGTGAAGAGGATCATGCTGGTTCTGGCTCGAGGGAACAGTTTGGTCAAAATACTGGTCATAGCCAGCCGGGTCCGACTGCTGGCTCAACGGCGTCGTCGAGGCTATCATATAATGTGGCGGAGATGTTTGTCTTCAGCTACGGAGTTGTCGTGTTTTGGAATTTCACCGAGAAGCAAGAGAAGGATCTTCTGGCTGATTTGGCGTTTGCGACGTCGTCTGCAACGGGATCACCTATCCCACTGGCTACCATGCCATTGCAAGAGGAGGACTTTGAAACAGAGGAGTTCCATTTCGAATACTCGACCGAAATCAAACGCCCGCGTGTCTACAACGACATGATCACTCTGCGCAGTGGCGACCACATGATCAAGCTGGCTATCAGTCATGGCATCGCCCAAAGTACCAAGCTCTGCTTCTTTGAGGAAGTTATGGCTCGCCAGATGGCCGAGGCCAAGGACGTTCCTCGCCGACTCGCCATGACCGGAAACTTAGGAATGAAGCGAGACGAAGTATTTCGGATCCTGGGCAGTCTGTTCAAGAGTCGTGTTGAAGTGAACCTTTGTAAGTGACACGCTCGAACCATAAGCTGGATAATTTTCTAATTTCTACAGCATCCAATATGCTCGACGTCCCCAACTTCTTCTGGGAAAGCGAGCCTACTCTCTACCCACTCTACATTGCCGTTCGCGAATACCTCGAGATCAAGCCCCGAATCCAAGTCCTCAATGAACGCTGCCGTGTCTTCCTCGATCTGGCTGAAATTCTCTCTGATTCGATCGCCGACAACAGAACCTCGCGTATGCAATCTCCTATCATGACATTCAACACACAAGCTAACATACACAGACCAAACCTGGATCATAATCGTCCTCATCATCATCTCCATCCTCGTGACCACCTCGGAAGTCTTCCTCCGTTTCGGCCTCCTCTCCGCCCGCGAGAACGGCGCATCCTCAACAATCACTACCATCCTCTCCCGAGCCCTCGGGCATACTTCACCCGCACCCGTATGCTCATGTCCAGCACCTGCTGTTCCCGGAGTTCCAGTAGGCATGGGAGCATTGATTACCACCGGCTTGCCGTACTGATTATACCATACCCTACATAATACTCACACCTTCTCACCACACATCACAATTACATTCTCAATATCAGGCCGGATCACACCACCGAGTACTTTTACTATCTGTCCCAAACAGCAACTCGTAAGCAGTACGCAATCCACATACTCATTCCCTACTTCCACTTTCAAGCGATGTTATCCCTTCAGTCATTCAATCAAGTCAGATTAGCTAAAAAGAGACTGGATATATCCCCCTTCATTCACTGTACCTATTACATTCCCACTAGTTAATCAATCACCCAACCAATTACCAACCACAATACCATAACATTCTCCCCAAACTCTCATCTAAGATTCTGTTAAGAAAAATAAGCGGTGCTGCGTGGCAGTATCCTGCCCTAACCTCAGGCAGAAATATCTCCATCTACGTATCTCTTCGTGCCTAAGGCCAGAAATGAATAACAAATACCAGCCTAAGGCATCTATGAGCTCATAGCCGGAGCCGAGACGAGGGCAGCTACTTAGGGAGGGAGGTACGTCATCAACCGGGAAGAACCTTGATAGTCGGTGTTTCAGGTTATATGAGTTCTTGAGCTCTAGTTGATGAGGGCTCGGATGTTGGGTAGGAATGAGTAGGTCACGCTATTTAGTTCGTGTCAATCAGGTGAGAGTTTGGAAGGTGGTTCCGAGGGAATTTTTTTTTTTTTTTCTTCTGCTGGAATGTCTACTGCACTGAGTGAGTGCATCCTCAGTAGCGATCGATCGATGTACATTTAGTAGTTGTAAGTAGTATACTATGGTAGTAGTGGTTAAGTCTATCATACATGACAAGGAACAGGTTCATCTACACCTGGGTAATATATAAAAAGGGTAAGAGGCCGTTAAGGGATTATCACACAAAGGAAAATAAGGAAACAAAGAATAGAACAACATGATGATGCGGGGGGTACAAGAGGAGAAAAGAATAGGTATAGAACATATGCACAGATGATGATGATGGAATAATAAGCATAAACCAGACCAAGACCCCGAATTCCCAAACCCCATTCCGACCGAGCCATGACACCTTTTCCACCTCTCTATATTTTATGCTTCGTCCTGGTGGTCGTATCGCACATTAGACACAAAAGGAATAACAGAATGGAACAGAGCGGACAACTCGGATCCTGCGCACGCGACAAATCAGCTAGCCCGGACTCCTTCCAGCGCTGGTGACCCACACTGGGAAATGCAAAGATGACGGTATATCAAATATCCAAAAGATGTATGCCATGATGTAGAACACGAGGAATGAACAATGCTGGAACAGAACGATATAACAAAGGAAATAAACAGAAATTAACAAAGGAAATAACTTATATCCGGCTAGCATCTTCAGAGTATGCTAGACGTTATGCTCAATGGCGTAGTAGGATAGCAACTCTCCATCAGCGGCCCTGCCGTCTGCTGGAGAGTTTAGTCCACTACCCATATTTAGACCGGAGTCGACCAGGCGCTCTCCATCTTGTGCTTCAGATCATAGCCATCCGGTTCAGTGCTCGTAGGCCGCCGAATGGTCGAGTTGGGGAAGTACATGTGGGGGGGCATGGCGCTCGGATATGCGGGCCCGCTAGTTTCAGGATAGAAGTCGGTAGCCGAGCCAGGCGACGGGATGCTGGCATGCGAAGGGGAAGGCCAACCGAGGCTGGTCATGTGCGGGCTTCCGCTAACGCTATTGGGCCGGTGGTCGTTGTTGGCGGGTGGCTCAAGAGGCTGCGGAGGACCGTATCCAGACGGATGGGAAGTCATCGAGGGACGGGGGTGCGGAGCGCTACCATAACTGGACAACGATGGGGACGTGGCGGTCGGGGAAGCCCGGGGACTGGCCTGCGTGAAACCGCCGCGAACATGGGGCGGGATCGATCCATTCGGCATGTAGTAGTCGGAGCGAGGCATATTCAAAGGGGGAAGGTCGCCAGCTGGGGAAATAGGGTGATGTGCCGGAGAGGGAGTGGAATGGACAGAGCCGTGGTCGGAGAACATGTCACCAGGCATTCTCGCTCTCCCCTTGTTCTGCCTCAGATTGGCCTCGGTTTCCGCAGCAGCTTCCTCGATTGTGCCCGTGTGGTGGTTCTGGTGGCGTGTCAAGGTAGTGCGGCGAGTGAATGTCTTCTGGCAGTTCGCGTAGGGGCACTTGTAGGGACGCTTCCCAGAGTGGATTCTGCGGTGTCGCGCCAAAGAGGACGAATCACTGAAAGGCTACAAGTCGGTTAGTCCTGCTCGAAAACCAGCCAAAAAGCATGTACATACCTTGCCACATCTCTCACACATATGAGGCTTCTCTCCAGTGTGGACTCGGGAGTGTACTGTCAGAGCTGAACGTTGGATGAATTGTTTGCCACAGCCGGGCCAGTCACAAGCATGAGGCCTGATACCGGAGTGAATACGTTCTATGCGAGTTAGCTGACTGTTTCCCTACGGGTTCGTGAAGAATGCTTACCGTGCCTTGCAAGGTCACTGCGGCGGGCGAATCCTTTACCGCAAGTACCGCAGTGGAAAGTTTTGGGAGGAGGATCCGGCCTCCCTTGAGGGCCACCGGCGTTCGGTATTTGAGCACCACCGGCATAGGCTCCAGGAACAAAAGGATTCTGCAATAGGGGCAGCCCCGGCCCCGGGTGTGCCTGGTGCGCATAGCGCATATCATGGGCCATGTTCGGCACCTGGCCGAGCGGACCATGAGGGGGGTATGCAAGGACAGCTTGATCACCAGCGTCGGAGACACCAGGTTCTGACTTCATTTTTGGGGATGACGTGTCGAGCCCAGGATTCGGTACCAAATGCTGATGATCAAATTGTCCGTCTGCGGCAACCATGGCGGCAGAACCTTTTCTATTCAAAATAGTTGTGATGTCCATGACCCGACCCCGCGAAGAGCTGAGGGACGGTAGTCAAGGACGGTCGAAGGATTTCACGGTAGCCCGTCTGACGCGTAGCCGCAGAATGACTCCACGGCGCTGATCGAAGGCTGTTGAGTGGCTGAGGCAGGTGTCGAGTTAGCTTCACTGGTAACGTGCAATGAAAAACAATTGTGATACCGACAAACAGCGCGGCCGTGGCTTGCATATGGGAGTAACCACTCCCAACAATCAGGCAACACGCTGGCAGAAAGACCGCGACTGCTCCACCAACTCCAGACCGAACACGGTCGAAAGCAAACAGACGTCATGGACAGATGATTTTCCGGGATAAACGGAAATAAATAACTGTAAAACTCACCTTGCTTTGCGCTACCCGGAGATCAAGGACTGTCTGTCCTGACAAGGTGTGACGTGGGCGAAGGCGACCGGGATCACGGATTTCTCGTAATCAAGAATGTGAGGACAAGGGCGAGTTGTCAACCTAAACTGTGCAGTAGACTCACGGCTGGGCAGCGAATGACAGCGCGGATGAGGTTCTTGGTTTCGCCGGGTGCCCAGACACTGACTGGCGAGGTTTGGCTTCTAGGAACAGAATCCGAGGTGTTGAGAGAACGGGCGCTTCACGAATCGGAACTTCCGCAGATGTCTTGTAACAGTAGATTCGGAACTGACCCAGCAAAGACCAAGATCCTAGTTCTGACCTCCACGGATAGCTGCAGCGAAACTTATCCAGCAGTAATCGAAGGGAAGTGGCTTGAAATCACCGGTGTAAACTCGACGAATCTCGGATCGGTCGATGGAACACGCGAGACTGTAATCACCGAAGTGTCGCTACGGCTTGCACGCGAATTTGCGACAAAGTCCGGATTCACTTGGAGTATGTATGCGATCGCAGGAAGTGAATGTGCGCGCCGTCGAAGTGTTTCAGCGGGAAATCCCAGGAGAAAAGCTCAGCGTCTCCGGAGGAGGGGTAAACGGGCAGGACGTAGATTAATAGGACTCGAACGGTGGTCTTATGGATGAGATCTGAAGGGAGGCACAGTAGAAGATTAGTAAACTGCGCTCAACCTGAAAGAATCAAATGAGAGAAAAATGCCTTGTGCGCGGCCTGTCCAGTGTCTCAAATTCCTTTGTTTTTTTTTTCTTCCCACCAAAACAGGTGGTGAGAAAAATCTCCAGTCCGAGCCCGCTCAATGGACGGCATTGCGCGCAGGTTCAGAAACCAGGAAATGCGACAAATAAGACGCTGGTTCGCACAGAGACGTGACCTGCAGGCGCTCATATCCATCCACATGCAGCGATGGAAGGCAGTCATCATTGACTGGGGGGGAAATCGGAGGAGAGGGGGGAGGGAAACCAAGCAGCCGCGGGGGGGAGCTGCGGTGTGGAAAGCGCCAAAGCAGCCAAGAAAGAGGTACTTACAGAGACCGAGGAAAGAAGTGACAGCTTTCAGGTGAAACGCGGTCAAGATGGACACGGTCTGGGAAGACCCAAAGTGTTGTTGTTATGTTGCGCGCGGAAGGAGGGGATCGACGGAAAGAAAATGGGGGGTTCCGAAGAGTTAAAACAGCCAGCAATGGGGAAGAAGAAGACGAGGCCTGTTCGACGGAGCTTCTCGGGGTTATTCTGACGGGAGAAGCAATAGTAAGGTGAGAGGGGAGGGAAATTCCTCGAGAACCACACGGCCGTGGCGAACCGATGCAAGAGGCGGAAAAGCAAATGCACCCAGCAGGATGACGGGGAAAGTCTGTCTATCTCTGTGCGTGTGTGCTGTGGGAAAAATAAAAGGGAAAAGCAAGGAGGTTTGACAGGGAGATAGACAAGAAAGGATGAGGAATAAGAAAAAAAAAGTCAAGAAGGAATTATAAAAAAACAAAAATAAAGAGGCAAGTTTTGACTTCTTCTTTCTTGGTACAAACCGGAAGAGAGAAAAAATCAAATTAGATGAAGGGGAGGGAATTTGTAAGGTAAGAGAGAGGTGAGTGATGGGGAAAAGAATCAGTGAATAATGAATGGAAGAATAATCTCTGGATGCTGATGGATGGATGGGGATTGTTTTTGGTCGGTAAAACAGGAACAGTAATAGGTAGAGTCAGAGGAGTAAGTGAGTAAAATAAAATCAGGATAAGATAATAATGATAATAATAATCATAAATACTCAAATCAGTCCAGCAATCAATCAATCAACCGGGGGGATTCGGGGGCTGCAGGTGAATATTAATGGGCGAAAAGCAGCCCAACAGCAGGTGGCTGCTCGTTTTCTTATAGATCCAGTTAAAATAACTTCTTCTACTCCTTCTAGTGTGATCCAAGGTCTCCATACGGTGTGCGTGCCTCACCCGTTCGTCTTATTAGTGAGGATTGGATGTGCTCCTCTCTTCTCCTTCCGACCATCACCACTTGGTCTGGCAGGTAAGTTAAAATTAAATGTTATTATAATTAGTATAGCTGGAGGTCCTTCCTTTTCCTTTTCCAACAGTAGTGGCGGTAAAATAAAATCAGAATAAAAAAAACGAGAATAAAAATAATAAATACCCAAAATACTAAAATAAATAAAATAATAATATTAATCTTATTATTATAATTTCACTGACGACTTCTTCTTGACTAGTTCAGTCCCAGACTTACTACCTACTTACTACTGACTACTTCCTGCTACTAGACTAACTGCACTACGCTTTAGTTCACGGAGGCTACCACGACTCTAAGTACCACTACAGCTTTGCACGTTTCCACCACAGGCCCCAAGTGGCTCCAGTGAACTCAACTCGCCCGAAGAAGCTGGCGGCACCAGAAGGTCACCGTCAGCGCTCGGCTCCACAACGTGGCTTTCCCCGTCTCTCCCTGGCCGTGCGAGAATCGCTCCTGCTGGGTGGGTATCGGCGGGTTGATGCCGATCTGAATGAATCAGGATAACAATATTATTCTTTTTCTGGTGCCGCGGGCCAGGCGATTACCCTCCATTGCTTCCATCCTCCCCGTCACACTTCCCTCGGGACATGCTGTGAAGGATACGTGATGGAAGAAGAACAAGGAATCGCATCCGATAACAACGGTTTTTAGCCGCCCACTCGGAGGAACACGCGATAACCAGAGAACATCCCACGGGACACATTCTGCGCTAAATGAGTGAGGAGGAGGGGTGTGTGTGATATAACGTAAACTGGTACAAGGCAGAAAAGAGAGGAACAAGGTCCCCGATCGTGGCTGGTAACTGGGCCCAGGAGTCTGACCACGGATATTGCATCACTGTTCGGAAGCTACTCCTGCACCTACCCCAGGAGTTTCCCTTTTCTCAAGGGGCCTCTATCTGCCCCTGGTGCGCCCATCGAGAGGGGAAAAGGAAGAGCACGGAGGATAAGCCGAAACCAAAAGAAGGACAAAGACAAATGAGAAAAAAGAAAGCAGGAGAGGAAATAGGAAATTAGGTGATCAGATCGGACTGGCTGCATGCTTCAAAGTATCGTGCGACAATGCGAAAAAACTCTCCAGCGCCGGCTCCGATCAGGCATCAACCATCACCCTATGGCGTGGCTTTGCTCCAGTTTCGCCCTCCCAAAAATCCCAGACAGGGCAAGAACATCCTTCAGCTTCTTTACACAAGCTCGCCAACAGGAAGCCTTGTTCGGGACGAAACCCGAAAATGCAAATGCGAATAAAAAAAATGAATGGCTCTTATTTGTTGCCAGCCTTTCCTTGGGCGAAATTTCAGGGCGAAGCGATCGCTAATCTCGCTTTAGAGTACTAGAGTAACTACTTCACCTACTACAGAAGACTAAAACCAGATTGACCAGCCGCGAAGAGGCATCGCGGACTAACCCCAGGCGATTCGGCTGTTCAACGGAAGATGTGATTTGCCCCTTTTGGAAGAGGGTCTCAGCATGGCCTGTGATTACCGAAAGAACAACGGTGGGAAAGCTAATTTCCTTCTAGAAAGGTTCGAATGATGGGGAATCGGGCGTGGTCCAGGACCTCCTAGAGGAGCTTTGAACGCACTATTACATAGTGCTTCAACCCGTCCCTCCACGCAGGCCCCCCTTCTATCTCCTCTTGTCTCCTGTGTCTCCTCTTCCCTACCATCCGGCTGCAGGGACAGGTCTTCCTCGTCCTGTCGGATGCTTCCTTCCCCATTCCACTCACCGATCTGCATGTCACGTTGGACCACATGCTGACTGGTGCAGCGAATGTGTAGAGAGCAAAGGGCACACCAACCAAGAAGGGGCTAATTATGAAGCGCAAAAAAAAAAAAAAAGCAGGGTTTGATGATACGGAGGGCGGTAATGGGCCGTGGAGTCTTTTCCCGCCCGGTTCCTACAAGAAATGCCCTAGTCCTGCGACTAGTCGCCTAGTCTTGCTAGTCTACGGACCTGACGGAGGAGGCTGCGACGAAGAGTCCACCCGTGCTGCCTCTGGGCTTCAGTCAGGGCTTCCCTCCTTTCTTTCCTTTCCCACCCCTCTTGGTATTTTTCCCTTGTCGACTCTCTTTTTATCCCCTGCTTGCTTTTTCCTATTCGGTTGTGACCTTGTTTGTCTCCCTTGCAGAAGACTGACCCCACTGCTACACACACTAACGGACTCGTACATCGTATGGATCCTTCGTGTGAACCAGTCATGATGGCTGCCAAGCCCACTTCGGGCTTCCGGCGACCTTCTAGAAAGAGCTCGGAAGGGCAATGGAAGGCTTCTAAAGCGTCGTCTTTTTCCCCCTCTTCTCTCCCCTTCTGTCCCCCCCATGTGCCATTGCGGCTGCGTCACCCACCTTGGGCCGATGGTGGCCCTTGTCTCTCCCTCCTGGCGCTCGTGTCACATCCCTGAGTGGAAGATCCCACGACAACGCCCAACGGACTTGGACATAGCCGGCGCTCCGACAGCCAACAGAATAATACAGCAATTCCCAAAGAAAAATAAAAGATACATGATAGCTGCAGACTACTTAGCGAACCCCGGAATTGACTTTCTTGGTGGTCAGTGTGAATTTCTAATGATTAGGTGACCCGAAGAACAGGACAGCTATGCGCTCCGTCCTATCTGACCATCGGCATCGTCATCATTGCCCGGAATCCCTGCAGGTGTCCGTGTTGGTCGCGGATCCGTGTTGAATGATTCTCCCTCGGCCCCACGGCTAGGCTCTCTCCCGAACGTTGGCCTTGGGGACTAGGTAGTGCGAATTAGATAGAGTAGTACTCCGTAGTGTCTTGTTCTTAGACACAATACGGAGTACTATGCCTTGGGAATGGCTTGACTTGGCCCACGTAAATTCAGGGGCGCTCGGGGGTCCGAGGAGAAGTGTGGCTAGAGCGGACGATGATGACGTCCTAACCAGCTGCCCGCCTGCATCATCTCACTGAGTAATACTTAATAAGAGGAGGGACCATCATATGCGGGACATACGATTGGACCGACGGGCTAGGCTTAATTGCGAGTGGCCGCGTTGGAGTTTCAGTTGTCGGAGAGGACGGGCCCTAGGTGGGAGAGATACGTTGCCTAAAGCAGAATAGGGGAGAGTTCCACAGGTGGTGTGGTCTGGTTCACGCCGCATGAATTGAGAGACGGTTCGACTAAGCCCGTCCGTCAGATTGATGAGGGACGAAGGATGGATGGATGGATGCATCGCCATCGGATGATGCAGTAGCAGATGCTCTAGCGCCAGATTGCCTCTTTTCTGGAAGCTTGCCTATGCAGGACAATCACACATCGTCAGCCCTCGGGGTCAACGCGCAGATGCATGGGGAGGATTTAAGTTTCTTGAATCCCATGGTCTTTTTTTTTGGTCGCCACTGTTTCTCTTTTACCCTACTAGTGTACTTCCTATGTAGTTTGAGGAGCTGCAGCTGCAGTACGACCATTGTCGTCACAGCCGAATTCGACCTTTTCTTCCGTCTTCCATCGGATAGGGGAACAGAGAAGGCAGAACAAGATGAACTTGGTACTTACGGAGAGCATCCGATTACCAACCACCACCACTTTCACCTTCTTAGCACTAAAACATCCATCCCAACTCGGTATATAACGCGTATTACTTTACTCCGTCAGTCACACACATACTGCTGTGTACTACACCGCATCACCATCACCATCACCGCATTCTTCGTATCCTGATTTTCCCCGACACCACTACGGAGTACTAACCACCAATATGGAGCTACTCCATACAAACTAGGCGTTTTTTCTCCATACCATAGCAGTCATAGTGGCAACCACCATGCCCCATTTTCCACCTTCCCCCCTTCCCTTCCCTTCTCCTCTAGCCGGTTCCATTTCCTGATCGACAACCCCAAGAATCGATCCCGCCCAGAAAGCAAGACAGACAGACAGAGAACCTCAGTCTTAACTCTACGCAGATAGTGCACGCTCATCATGATCTTCACCGGCATCATGAAAACGAGTCCCGACCCGAGACTAAGCTGACTAGTCTGTTAGGGTAAGGGAATAACAGAGTAGTGCTTAATATTTAAACTATACTTATTAAGAAATATAGCTTAAACCGCACCGGGTAAGTCGAGAGTATCTACACAGAAGGAAAAGGGCGGCTGATGATACATTTCTCTTTCGTAATGAAAGAACCTAAGTACCATGCCATTTAACTATCCCATGGACTGTCATTTATTATTCAGCTAGCTAGGTATCAATTCCACACGGCAGTTAGGGAGACATATACCAAAACCAGGAGAAACAAGGAATAAGGGATAGAGAGAGACGAGACGAGACAAGACAAGACAAAACGAGAGGGAAATAAAATAAGACGACCAACCATCTGGGTCCCAGCCCATCCCTCCCTCCAAACTGGAGCAACAAAAAAAATACCCCCCATTGAAAATCCAAACCCATCAAGCTACGGAGTACTACTTACTGTACTAGACTACGTACGGCACAGAAAGGAAAAGGAAAAGGATAATGGCCCAGGCCGCCGGCCCCATAACCCTGACTAGCCACACCACGTACTAACTAACTAACTAACAAATTAGGTAGACTCCGTAAAAACGTCGAGAACTCGACAGGTAAGTATGGATAGAGTATGCTTCCAGAAGACACGTAGAACAACTCCCTTAAGTGGGGAATCAATTAGTTAGTTAGTTAGTTGGCTGGAATCATGGTTCACCGACGGAGTTTTATTCTGTGTTTGGAGAATTGTGGATTCCCCGTTTGTTGTTTGATCGTGACGGGGAGAAAAAAAGGAAAAGGAAGAAAGAATGTGAGGGAATATTCTATTAGCAATAAGTTTTGCTGTGCTGTGTATATTGAGGTGCCACATTTCTCTTTTCTATTTTTTTTTCCCCCTTCTCTTTGATTTTTCCTAGTGTTTGTAAAGCAGTACTGTACGCGGTGGATGTTGTACTGGTACCTTGTGGGAGGTACAGTTATTGTATTATGGTAAGTAAGTAAGCCAGCCATCGTAGCAGGCAAACAGTAGAAGTTGGTAGCCTGATCGCCTCAATTTGTGCGCGATATAGACAATATGAGGATGGGCAATGCAGCACGCCACGATGCACGGAAAGCAGCCGAGGATGTATTCCAGACATAAAACCTTGTATCTATCTGATTAAGAGAGTTGATCTATCATATTGATGCGATCATTCTTGCGAGCAAACAAACAGCCTCCAAGAACTTTGAATGTGAGTAAGCAGTACCTGCCAGCCTGCCTGGCAGACAGACAGACCAAACAAACACCCAGCCTTGGCATGTTTGTTCCCCCGAACAACATCCGCATCCGCAATAATATCGCAACTTCGGCTTCAATTCTGCCAGACCAGTCGCTGCAGCTAATTCAGCTAAATTGATCTGCCATTGACGATGCGCGGCGCGTCCAACACATTTCCCTAGGTATATACCAGCATACTTCAAGCAATCACAACCAATCCCAACTAACACAACCCACCAGTCCACCCTACCACCCAAACTACACCACCACACCTTAAACCTCCGAACAAAAACAATCTACAAACACTCACATCCAACCACACCAAATACAACCGCCAAAATGCTCCGCCCAACACCAACCTCAACCACCACCACCACCCTCCTCCGCACCCTCCGCGCCCTCACCACCACCACCACCACCACCCCCACCACAACCCTCCCCAAATCCCAAACACGACACCACTCCTCCGTCTCCGCCAACGAACTCTCGCACTTCTCCTCCCTCGCCACATCATGGTGGGATCCCCAAGGTCCCTCGCGCGTCCTTCACCTCATGAACCCCGTCCGCCACGACTTCATCGCCTCCTGCCTCGCCGAATCCACCCCGATAAGCAGCACGACTCCATCCTCACCCATGGACCCTACCAACACCCTTAACAAGAACAACCTGCGGTATCTCGATATCGGCTGCGGAGGGGGCATCTTTGCCGAGTCACTAGCGCGCACAATCATCCCAGCCTCTTCACCTTCTGCATCATCAGAAGTTACTAGTGGTACTCTAACCCGCACCCGCGCCGCCAGCATAACAGCCCTAGACCCCAGCCCGACGCTGATAAAAATCGCACGGGACCACGCGCGTCTCGACCCTGCCGTGCAAGCGCACCTGGATAGCGGGCGGTTCAAGTACGTGAATGCGTCGTTGGAGGAGTTCATCCCCACAGAGGAGAGGAAATTCGACATCGTGACTCTCTTCGAGGTACTCGAGCATATCGATAATATCCCCGGGTCGATCACACCGCAGAGTTTCCTGTCTAATTGTCTGTCTATGGTGAAGCCTGGTGGATGGTTGATTGGGTCGACGATCGCGAGGACGTTCCCGTCGTGGTTGGTGAATCAGGTTGTGGCGGAGGCGCCGTGGCCGATTGGGGTGGTGCCGAGGGGGACGCATGAGTGGAAGAAGTTTGTTAATCCCGGGGAGTTGGAGGGGTGGGTGCAGGAGGGGTTGATGAGGGGGGTGGATGGGAGGGCTGTGAGGGGGGGTAGTGAGGCGTTGGAGGGGGCGAGGTGGAGGTGTGAAGGCGTGGTGTATTTTCCGGGGTTGGGGTGGAAGTTGGTGAAGGGGTCGGAGAGTTGGGGGAATTATTTTTGGGCGGTTAGGAAGGGGGAGTAATTCTTACTACGTAGTAGTAGTAAGTAGTAAGTTGTTGTTGAGGTGGGATTGTATATTACTAGGTGGGTGGTGTATGATAGGTATCTATAGATACAGTGCTTGAGTTACTGTCATAGCATTAGATAGGTGTTTCATTGCATTAGGTTCTTTCTTGCATTTGTGCTGTTATACTAATGTAGTGATATATGTGGATTGTGTCGTAACAATAGACCTGCTGCATGTTAATCCATCGACTCGAACCGGCGAGCCTAGGATAAATCCCCCCTCGATCACTTCTTCCTCCCCTTACCCTTCTTCTTCGGCTTCTCCGGTTCAGGAACACTGACTGTCCCCTGCACCACATCATCGCCCTGATCCTGCAGTCGCGCCGACCCGCTAATGAAGAAAGTGAGATCCCGGTTCTGCTCCGTCAAATCCGCATTCGCAAGCTTCAGACTTTCCACCTCGGACTTCAGAAGCTCAACCCGTTCAATGAGATTCTCATTCATCGTCTTCTCTTCTCGCCACTCTTTCTCCATCTTGCGCGTCATCATCTCGAACTTCTCCGCGCGCTTCTCGGCCCGCGCCTTATCGCGCTCCAGCCCGGGGATGATCTCGCTAGTAAGGGTATCATATTGTGCCTGTAGGCTCTTCAAGCTGGCGGTGGCTTTCTCGACTGCGTCCTGCGCGGAAGAGGCAGCGGCACTGGCTTGAGATGCTTTATCCACGGCACGCTCGACTACCTCTTCGAAGTAGGCTCGTTGGCTTTCAAGTTGACTAGTAAGTAGATGGGTGTATTCCACGCTCATGTTCTCCAGCTTCTCCCGCGGAACGGCGTCCGTCCAGTCGGGTGGGTCGAGCGCGCTGTTGTCGGCTGCTGGAAGTTCCACGAGCTTGCCATCAGTTTTGCTTTGGATAATGCGGTGCACGTAGGCATCGCCGACGTAGTCCCAGACGCGCTGGGTAGAGAGATCCATTGCAAAGGCATGCGCCGTTTCCTTGTAGTGCGCAAATGCATGTGCGCCGTCATAGCGTCCACAGCCGACGTTTCCGCAAATAAGGCATATCCAGAGGTTTATATCCGAGTGGCACACGCTGCACTCGGCTGGTTCATCATCGTATAATGCGGCTTGGCTGTTCCGTCGAATATCATCTTGTGTGTATCGACATACGGGGCAGCCACTTCCTTTCCACTTCTGTAGACATGTGCAGTGAAAGACATGCTGACATATGATAGTCAGCAAGCCGGTGGTCTCATCCATACGCTCCAGACACACGGGACATGTTGGCAATTCGATAAGCGCAGGGGTAGGAGGCGCCAGCGGCCTGGTAGAGAGAGTAGCAGAAGGTATGGAGCTTGACTGTGTAGTCGAAATAGGCGTCGTCCGCACAGGACTCGTTGTAGCGTGTGGGGAAAGAAGACCGCTCTGTGATCCAGACAGCGCGCCCGGTTCAACGGCTTGTATTTCGACGGTCTTTACGAAGACGACATGACAGGTTTCGGGCTGAAGCAAGGGCGCGTTAGCATCGCAGCCGTGGATCTGCATCAAGCAATGCATGATGCACTTACCTCCATGCTGTTAAACACCTTTCCATTCCAGTCCTTCTGCCACTCCTTGGCCTTCTTCCCGTTGCGAAACTTCATCAAGACCATGTACCGGTTCGCTCGAGCGGTCTTGATCATGCGAAAGTGAGTGACATCGTTCATAGTCGATTCGCCCACGAACCCCAGAAAGTCGGAGGGCGACATATATGAAGGGACGGCTAGGATACATAGCGTCGTGCATTCCTCATCTGGCATGTGCTCTTCTGCGCGCGGGGGCCTACTGCTGCCGCCCACTTCATCGTATGGTGTCCTCGCCGCAGCCGCTGAACCTTTCAAGTACGAGGGGTAGTCCTCTTCTGTCAGGTACGGCGTCTCCTGAGCATCTCGGTATAGATGCACGATTCCCCAAACACTGTCCGAAGTGCTCTGGTCCAGCGGTATGTATTTGCCTTTCGTGCGTAGTCCTCCCAAGATATCCGTGCCGATCCCGGTCGCGATGGGGTTATCCTTTGCGTCCTTCCAGCCCGTCCGCTTCGCAGCACTGGTGTCCTGCTCCGATGGAATCATATCAATGCACTCGATGGACACTTTATCGAGTCTGAGATCTCTCTCGAGATCGGATGCGCTTGTGGACGAAGTCGTGTAGAGGTGAGGGGTACGGGGGTCTGTGACGTTGGTAGTAGAGTCCGAGCCGTGGGTTTCGGCGAAATTGTTGGATGAGGGGCGTGGGTGTTTCCCATGCGCTTGATGACGAGAGGATCGATGTGCCCACGGTGAGTGTCGGGGGCGCTTCTGGAACGGGAGTAGAGCTTCGCATGCGGAGTCGAAGGATAGCGATGTCGAGTGCTTGTCCACGCCTGGGTAGGTGCCGTGGAGGTCAGAGTGCGGGCGAGCAAATAATTCGATCGCAATGTGGTAGAAGTAGGAGGGCATCACGACTGATGCTCACATCTCCAGCGTAATACACGTCTGCAACTGCTCTCTCAGGTCGAGTTCATGAATGGAAGCTACTTTCCTGTCCCACGCCGCCTTGGGAGGGTATAGTCACGTGCTGAGGGACGGGTGGCGAAGACGGTAACTCACATGCGATATCTAGTTATACTTGTTAGCTATTGTATAGGCAGATGAAGATGAAGATGAAGCTATTTCAATATCTATTTTCGTAGCATACGATATGTAAGGTGGTAGACGCTGGATTTGCATGTGGTCTACATCTATGCTAGCGTGGCGGTCTACTTCGGGCGGTCCTACTAAATCTACATAATACAGTGCAAGTGATATCAAGTGGAATATAATTATTGGATTGATTCCTAGGTGAAAGAATGTCGCAAGGCACCATAGAAGATGGTGACCCTAAGGTATGCCCAATTTATCCGTGTCATAAAACCGATAAAACAACCGTCCCAACGCCATGCAGGCCACTCAACCGTAGATGAGCCGTGCTAAAGAAGAAAGATCACAAGAAAGCATTAGTTTCCACCACGGAGACGGAGCACCAGGTGCAGAGTGCTCTCCTTCTGGATGTTGTAGTCGGAGAGCGTACGTCCATCTTCCAGCTGCTTACCAGCGAAGATGAGACGCTGCTGATCCGGGGGAATGCCCTCCTTATCTTGGATCTTGTTCTTGACGTTATCAATGGTATCCGAGCTCTCCACCTCCAGCGTAATCGTCTTGCCGGTGAGAGTCTTCACGAAGATCTGCATACCACCACGGAGACGAAGGACAAGGTGAAGGGTCGATTCCTTCTGAATGTTGTAGTCGGACAAGGTACGGCCATCCTCCAACTGCTTACCAGCAAAGATCAAACGCTGCTGGTCCGGGGGGATGCCTTCCTTGTCTTGAATCTTGGTCTTAACGTTATCGATGGTGTCGGAAGATTCAACTTCCAATGTGATCGTCTTGCCCGTAAGAGTCTTGACGAAGATCTGCATACCACCACGCAGACGAAGGACGAGGTGAAGAGTGGATTCCTTTTGGATGTTGTAGTCAGACAGGGTACGGCCATCCTCCAGCTGCTTTCCAGCGAAAATGAGACGCTGCTGGTCCGGGGGAATGCCCTCCTTGTCCTGAATCTTAGTCTTCACATTGTCGATAGTGTCAGAAGACTCCACCTCAAGGGTGATGGTCTTTCCGGTCAGGGTCTTGACGACTAAAGTGAGGTCAGTATACGGTCCAAGTGAGAGTGGCCAACAGGGTGGCAAATAGAGTTCAGGAAAACCTACAAATCTGCATACCACCACGCAGGCGGAGAACGAGGTGGAGAGTAGACTCCTTCTGGATGTTGTAGTCAGACAGGGTGCGGCCATCCTCCAGCTGCTTTCCAGCGAAGATCAGACGCTGCTGGTCGGGAGGGATGCCCTCCTTATCCTGGATCTTGGTCTTAACATTGTCGATGGTATCGCTCGACTCGACCTCGAGGGTGATGGTCTTGCCGGTGACTAGATGGAAACAAGCAGTCAGATGATGGATTCATGATGCTAAACTTGAGAGGTGATTTAGGTATACTCACGGGTCTTGACGAAGATCTGCATGTTGTAGAAGCGCAGTTAACGGTGTATGTAATTAGGTGGAGTGTTGTGGGGAGAATCGCAGATGGCGATGCGCGGAGTGAGTGGTAGGATGAGAGGTATGAGGGATGAAGGAGGGTTGGTGGAGAGAGGAAGGAAGAGAAGGCTTAAGTAGTCAGGAGAGGAGGTGAATGAGGGGAGGCGGAGGCGAAGCGCCTTAGTCAGAGGATCGGTCAGTGAGATAACGTGATGCAAGGGAATGGCTTAGAGGTCAAGTCGCAATAAAGGGAAAAGAGCAGCAGGGACCTTAGCCCGAGCGGTGTTAGCCTGTCAGACGAAGTACCTTTCGGGCGACGCTTCTGGCACCTCCTGGGGGATTCCCTTGCCATCCGGCTATTGCGCCGGAATCCGCCTGGTCTGCGTCATTTGGTTCTCCAATACGCTTCGTTGCTGAAGCGCTTGGGAGGGAGAATCTACTAGAAAGGTTCTGGTTGGGTTGACTCAGGCTCCCACGGCAGCCACCGATTATTGGGTTTACAACTAGTACAACGGGAATGGTCGCTGAAAGGAAAGAGTGGTAACGCATACGAAAATTCTGTCTGCAAAACTTTGAACAACAGGCAAAAGCCTGATCCCATGTGGTAGGCACTGCTGCTGCCATGGGAGGGGGATCGAAGCCAGTTGGTTGCCGGGGCCTGATATCAGTCCGGGGGAAGCGTCTACGAGCGGACAGGACGACTCCGTCCGTACCCGCCACTGACGCCACCAGTCGGTATCTCAGCCCGACCCAATCCAGACCGCAGCCGTGTTCCTGAAATAGAACCCGTTGAAACTCGGAGTTTCTGCTGTCTATATATTATTTGCCTTGTCATTGATAATTAGTATCATCTCACCAGGTAAACTGGGGGGTGGTCAGAGAGGGAATGCGACAACTGGCCTTGCGGCGGCAGCAACGGCGATGACGTGTGAGTTGGGGGCATTCCTTATCGGAGGATGGAGGATGGGGGAAGGGGGATCCTCTCCAGCTGTTATCTCGACGGCGCGGCCTCGGGAAGTGGCCTTAGGCCATTGCTAGCGGCTGGAGATGGGTCAGGTGATCGTCGCATCCGGAATGCCCCGCTTTTGGCCCGGCACCCACTGAATCGTATCCATGACTGCATGCATTCCAACCCTCATATACCAGCTCATCGTTTGCATCATCACTATTTACTATCAATCATTTACTCACCAGTACTAGTTATGTATCAAATATCGCTTTGATGAGAACTGTCCCTTGGCTGCGTCATCTATCGTGGTTGAGCATGCGTAGGTGCCACACAGTCTATTACATTGGGCGGCTATTGGGAAAGTTTCTCCAATACGAACTAGTGATTCTTCTGTTGTGGGAGGGCATGATGACCCAACAATCTACCTCTATCGCGTTCAATTCCCTAGCTCGCAAGACAGGCATGACCTTCCACTTCTGGTTACCGTGGCTCGGAACTTTCTTCTGTTCTGGAGTCTAGAGATGGCTTTAGATAAACAAAGAAAGGTGGTACCATTCTCAATCCCGTTGAGTGATCCGCTCTTCAATCAACAAACCAGTCACGACTAGGCGGCAAGGCGCATGCGGGCAAGCTGCTGTCGGTGTGTTTACCGTCCCCATTCAATAGCTAGGCATAATGGGCTTGTTGTGGGTTTAACTATCCTCGCTGTAGACGTTGGAGTTGACCACAAGGTTGCCAAGATGATAAATAGTTGAGGTTTGTAGCAACTAGCAACAGAGATCCTGACTGAGTTCAGCACTCAGTCCAGTCAACATGGTGGTGACACAGATCGGAAATATGCACGGCGATTGCACCCTAAACTTTGGCGCGACAGTAGACTCTCGCATCAAGACTGAAGCGGGAACGCATCAGCTCTATTCAGGCCTCCCCGAAGATACCTTAAAAGACCCCAGCGTCAAGCACTCATGCTGAAGCAAAAAACCGGAACCGTCATAGGAGACCGGCGCTCTACCATTGAGCCAATAGACCAGTGGAAACGATCTACATGGGACTCGAACCCACAACCTCCGGTTTTCCAAACTCAACCAATGAGCCAACGGACCGATTTAGGCGGGAGCTTCAAAAAAGTGGTTTATGGGCGGTAACTGGCTGTTTCCGAAGAATGGCAGCTGTCAGCGGGTCTCACCGACCAGATGTTTGATGTTTGTTTACATCTCCAATGCGGTAGATATAGATGAGTAGACTGTACGCACGTTGCCTACACTTCTGATTACCCATATAAAAACAGAACACTTACAAATGCATGTCCGTCGTCGCTGCTCAACATCACTGCAAGGGGCATGCTGAAGATGGATAGATCGATCGTAGCGGAATTCACCCCCCTCATCTCCATCATTCACTCATCACTAGATCATTTATTTGTCTGAACCTCTATTGCAATCGCTCTCGTTTCTCCCCTCTGATAAGGTTGCAGATCAGGTGCTTATAGTTTCCTAGCTTGGTTCACTCGAATATTCACTTGATGCATCAGTGGTTCTTGGTCCCTACCCCTCACTCGCTTGAGACAACATTGTTCTTCTGGTTTCATCTTCCTTTGACACGCGACATTAAGCCGAGAGTATTTTCGTCCAAGTAGCGCAGCATCATAGCTTCCCAGACGCTCATCTAGTGCCCACAATGTACGACTGTGAGACCTGCCCCCGCTACTTTAACAGCTGGCATGCCTGTCGCCAGCACATGAACGACACAGGCCATTGGGGCGTGCGGTACGAATGCGAAACGTGCGATGACCAATTTTTGACTCAATGGGAAGTGGAGGAACATATGGATGACTACGGACACCACGCTCCCAAGATCCCTTGCGAGACATGCGGGAGGAAGTTCTACAACCAAAGGTCAGCAGATCAGCACATGAATGCAATGGACCATTGGGCTCCAACATGGCCATGTGAGACTTGCACACAAATGTTCCATACGGAAGGTGCTGCTGAACAGCATATGCGGGCCAAGTCCCATTACAAGAACTACTGCCACCCCTGTAACCGGCGTTTCGATAATGCGAATAACCTCAAGATGGTAAGGTCTTCTATGTCGTTCAACATTGTAATTGAACTCAGATTTCGCTTGTAGCACCTGAATTCGAAGATTCACCGCGGTCAAGACGTCCTCTGTCCTTTCTGCAACACCGCTTTTACTACGGCCACTGGCGCTGCCCACCACCTTGAAACCGGCTCCTGCAAGCGTGCTGTAGGCCTCAATCGCGAGACTATTTACAAATTTGTTCGCAGCCGCGACACCCAGGGCGTCATTACAAGGAAGCTGCTTGAATGGAACGAGGATGACAACAGTCAATACAAGGCTAATTCCCGTGCATATAACGGCGCTTACTGGGAGTGCTACTTGTGTCACCGGGAATTCAACAGTTTGAACGCACTCAATCAACATTTCAATTCGCCTGTGCACAAGCAGAAGCTGTATCATTGTCCGAAC